AACCCGCCAGCAGCCTCACGTGGCAAAGAGGAGACTGAAGCCCACAGGGCCAGTTCTCCCCTGCCCTGCAGCGTCCCAAGGAGTCCAGATCCAAGGAGGGGTTGGCTTTTGTGTTTGTTTTGAATGCAGCTTCCCCGCCTCCAGCCTGGCTCTTTCCTGGCCCCCACCCTGTGCCCTTCTCCTTTTGTCCCAGGCAGCAGCTACCTGGGGTTTCTGTTTACTGGGTCATCCCTCTGTGCCTGGTGACTCACTGGGCTTGGAAGAACCTCTCCCCCCCCACCCCCCAGCCTAGTTTTGTTTCTAGTTGTTACTGTCACATGACGAGTGATGAGCCAGCCAGTTCTCACATTTTTCTCCCCACCACTGGCCTGCCTGCCTGCACCTGCCCCCCGCTTCCCCCCCCCAAAAAAAATCTCCAGCCCCGTTCACTGCATCCGCTGTTAGTCTGGAACTGTGTCGGAAAGTTTTCAGAATTCCAGCCTGATGCGGGTAGCTTTCGCAGTTTTGTTTTCCAGTGAACCTCGTGCTTCTCCTAATAAGCCCTGGGACGCTTGGCTCCAGTTCCCTGTTTATCCCAGGGGTGTGCGAGTCCCCCAACCACCCCCCCCCTTCCCCTGCCTCTTATCTGTGTTCTTAGAGTCAGACCTGGAGGTAAGCCCAGCTCCTTTAAAAAGTTTTTAATTTGTGGTTGAATATATCCAACCCAAAACAATCTACTTCACTGTTTTACGTGTAATATCTAATAATGTTAAATACAGCCCCCATGTTGTGCGGGAAACCCTGGAGTGCAGTAGGGCAACTGTTGGACAGCTAGCCACAGGTCGGCTGTTTAAACCACCAACCACTCCGTGGGAGGAGAAGGAGCTGGCTGCTCCCATAAAGGTTTAGCGCCTGGAAAACCCTATGGAGCAGTTCTCTGCCCCGCAGGGTTGACTCGGTGGCAGGGAGTGGGTGTGTGGGCCATCAGTACCATCGTCTACATCTCCCTCCCACCCAGCCCTGCTAACACTAATCCAAGTTCTGTCTCTTTCACGTTTGTCCATTCTAGGTATTTCATACGGAGCCCCGGGGGTGTGGTGGGTTGAATGTTGGGCTGCTAACGGAAATCTCCCAATCACTCCAAGGGAGAGAGATGAGGCTGTCTGCTTCCAGGAAGATTAATAGCCTCGGAACCGATAGGGTCTCTGTGAGTCGGGCTCGATTGGCCAGCAGCAGACTTAGATATTTCATGTAAGTGGGATCACACGCTGTTTGTGCTTTGGTGCTCAGCTTACTTCATTCGGCATCCAGGTCCGTCCATGGTGTGGCACTCGTCAGGACATAGTGCCTCTTGGTGACTGAGTGACGCCCCCGTGTGTGTGTGGACCGCCCTCACAAACTCCTGTGTTCTTGCTGCCTCTGGGCTCTGGGAATAGTGCTGCAGTGAGGATTGGTGCAGGTCTAGATTTTGGAAGAATTTGAGTTCTGTTCTGTATACCCTCTCAGGGCTCCTCTCTTGTGAACAGAATGAGCAGTCGCTGTAGCCGGGCACCATCTAGTTCTTCTGGTCTCTGGGGACGTGAGGGTGCACTTCACTTCATGAGAGCTTCAGCTGCTGTGCTTTCTAGACCTTCCTTCCACAGTACCTCGAAGTAGGTTTGGTTCACCTACCTTTCAGTCAGCAATCATGCGCATAACTGTTTGCACTCGCCTTCCTTATGGGAGGGAAGACCCTTTTTATTGGTCCTCAGGCATCAAACCCATTGACCCATTTGGTTCTGATAGGAAGGCCATGTGGGCCCATTCTCTCCCACCTGTCTCTAACTGGCTAGCAGCCTGGTGAAATATCCTGCCGGGGCTTCACCAGGAGTGAATGGTTGGCTGCTACTCGAAAGAGCAACAGCTTCAACCCACCAACTGCTCCGTGGGACAAAGATAGCAGTCTACTGCTGTAGGATTGGGGTGCAGACACCCTATTGGGGCCATTATCTTTTGTCCTCCGAGGTCGCTACGCATCAAAATTGACTCAGTGGCAGGGAGATTTGTGACGTGGAGGAAAAGCTCTGTGCAGCCAGGTGACCCTGGGTGTGAGGGGGGTACTCCAGCCAGCTAAATGCAGACATCTCTCAGTGCCCTGGATCCGGGGTTGGTAAACTTCGGCCCTTGGGCCAAACAAGGCTCACCTCCTATTTTTATGCGGCCTGCCAGCGAGAATTGTCTTTATGTTTTAAGATGGTTGGAAGGAAATAAAACCCAAAGTTAGCCTTGTTATTTCACGGCATGGGGATGCTCGGAAATCCACATTGCAGCGTCCATAAAGTCTTGTTGGCACACAGCCCAACCACCTGTTTTCACAGATGACACTTCATCCAGGTGTGTAAGCTTGGCTGCTCAAATTCACGAGCTGCGTCGGGGGAGCAGATGAGGCGGTCTGCTTGTGTACAGATTCACAGTGCCCTCAGCCCCGTGGCCGGGCACTGGGAGTCAGCGTTGACTCGGTGGCAGCGGGTTTTGAGACGACAGCTTTCCTGTGACAGTGGGAGGCTTGCGTGGTTTTGACAGTCACCATCTCACCCTGGTGGTGCTGTGTGTTAGGTGTTGAGCTGCTAAGCTCAAGGTCCGTCAGCAGTTCAAACCCATCATCAATCTCAGAGAAAGAGGTGAGGCTTTCTACCCCCATAAAGATTGACAGTCTCAGAAACCCAGCAAGGGTTAGTTCTGCCCTGCCTTATAGGGTTGCTATGCGTCAGAAATGAGTTGATGGCTGTGGGTGAGTCAGGCCCAGCGAGCTGAAGCGATTTGCCCTCTGTCCCTTTACAGACGGAGTTGGCTAGCCTCTGCCTAAGCCTTGGGGAGGCAAGGAGAACCCTGGGTTGTGTAAACGGTTAAGCACTTGACAGGCAACTGATAGACTGGCGATTTCCCGACTACCCACAGTCACCTGGGAGAAAGGCCTGCCTACCTGGGTCTGAGCCGCTCAGACATGACGCACACAGGACGCGGTGGCATTTCTGCCTGTGTACGTAGGAGTTGCTGTTGGCCTGAATCCACGGCACCCAACAACTCACTTGTGAATGGGTGACAGCTGCCAGGGAGGGGTGCAGTTCAGTTCCACGGCACCTGGTGTTTCGCTTGTTGTCCTCATTGTTGCCATGAGGCTGGAAGGCCACTGTGGCTCAGAGGTAGAACTCTCCCTTCCCATGCTGACCAGGTCTCACCAGAGCTTCCAGACTAAGGCCAAGAAGAAAAACTTGGTGATACAATTCTGGAAATCAGCCTTTGAACACACTATGGACCACCAGGGTCTAATGGGTCACCAACCCTGGGGACCCAGCATGTTGTTCCTTTGTGCCGGCTGAGCGTGGCAGCTAACAGGAGAGTGAGGATACGCACATTCTCGTGAGGCTCAGGGTTGCTGTAAGAACTCAGTGATTCGGGTCTATCTAGATAAGGTAGACTGGTAAACAATCTGTAGAAGAAAACAACAGGCAGATGGTTGGGGGGACATGGGAGATGGGGGAAACGAAGTGGTGTTAACAAACCCAGGACAAGAGAACAACAGGTGATCAAAAATCAATGGTGAGGAGGGTGTAGGAGGCCTGGTAGGGCTGAGCATGATAGTG